TGGGGTCTCCAATGCCTGGACCAAAGCGCCCAGACCCTGCCTTGGTCATTGCTAAAAATGACTTTTCTGGTATCGCTGCAGATCCCCGGGGTGGTGCCGGCACCTGTATCCGAGTGCCGCTGGAAATGAGAAGAGCTGGGAATGAATCCAACCAGCTGCATCTCAGTCCTGCTCCCGGTGCCCCGGCGTGCCCTCCTTCTCCTAATGACTCCCTTGTTTTGACTAGGCAACTTAGCGTAATATCTTCTGAGGGAGGAGAATGTCCCAACAAAATGTCAACGAGACGAAGAGTCTGTGAGAAGAAGCCAGCAGAGCCTCCAGTGCCAAAAAAAAATCACAATGAGAAACTTATCCAGGCAGAAAGCTCTGAAACAGGAAGGGTATGTGGGTTGTTTGTTTGTTTGTGGGTTTGTTTTTTTGTGTTTTTTTTGTTTGTTTGTTTTTGTTTTGTTTTTGTTTTTTACTTTTATCCTTTCTTTTACATTTTTATCCATTTTGAAAAAAATCGTTTTTGTTTCTACATTCAGGCCAGTCCTGTGAAATGTGTTGTTTAACGTGTGACTGTGGGTTTTAGCCATTAATCCGGTGGCTGTTGATCCTTCAAATCTGGGCTTTTGGCAGGGATTTCTGCACCTGGCAAGGGCTCTACACGTGGGAGGTGGAGGGGAGAAATCCCTCCCTGCTCCTGCCAGTCCCAGCTCCTCCCCTTAGTTAGGCCTGTTCAAGTAACCCTGAGCTGGACAGTCCGACTTCTCTCTTCAGCACCTGTTATTGACCCTTTGCTGTTATTTGATCAGCCTCTTTTCTTGTTATCTGGCAGTCTTAAACAAAAACAACAAAGAAAAATACCCACAGAGTACAATGAATTTTAATGAATACTATTCATTAAAATGAATTAAAAGAGAGCATGCAGGACAGTTTCTAAGCTGTTTGAGCTTGGGCAGATGAACTGCTCTCTGTGCTATATTACAACTTGGGTACTTTTGAGCTTAGCAGTTCCTCTGCTGGCGACTTTTTATTTTTCTCTTGTTCTCTCTGAGCTTATAATTAAGTCATACAAATCGTCGGTGGTGTGTGACTTTGCAGGTAAAGCTAGCGGTGTTCTGGCAATACATGAAGGCGGTGAGCCCTGTCGTATCTCTAGTTATATGTTTCCTCTACTGCTGCCAAAATGCTGCTGCTATTGGGGCCAACGTGTGGCTCAGTGACTGGACCAACGAGCCGGTGGTAAATGGCACTCAGCTCAACACAACCATGCGGATTGGAGTCTATGCTGCCTTGGGCCTCTTGCAAGGTAAGACCAGCTAAAATAATAATGTCTTCATGTTTAGCAGGAAGAATTCATCGGGAAAACTGTGGCAGTAGTTGCTAATGGCTCCAAATGACTTCAAAAATCTTATTCCTAGCAAGCAGGAGGCAGTAGATGGCAATAGGTGGGAAGGAAACTTGAGATGCCTGTTGGAACAAAACCAAGAAAACCTGGGTGCAGAAAAGGCAGCCGGGTTGGAGTCAAGTTGCAACAGCAGGTGTTCGTGGAGGCTTGCAGAAAGCAGAGGGAAGATGAGCATCAGGCTCTTGTGTACAGCGTGGTGAAATCCTGCAGGAATTATTGCTCTATGGTAGGCAGCAGTGACCACCGTGCCATGGTGCTACTGGGCATGGTAGTAGAGGGGTGGACAAGGGTATGGTAAAGAGAAGAAAGGCTTGAGCATGATGGAAGGTGCTGAAAGTCAAACACAAGCAAACCTCATTTCCTTGACTTGCTGCTTAACATGTCTCTTCTCCTGATAGGCATCTTAGTGCTCATCTCCTCTTTCACTCTGGCCATGGGAGGCATTAAGGCAGCCCGGACGCTCCACGCTGGCCTCCTGGAGAACAAATTTCACACGCCCCAGTCCTTCTACGACACCACTCCAACTGGCCGCATCATCAACCGCTTCTCAAAGGACATCTACGTGATCGATGAAGTGATCCCACCGACCATAATGATGTTCCTGGGAACCTTCTTCACCTCTTTATCAACGATGATTGTGATTATAGCAAGTACTCCCCTCTTTGCTGTGGTTATAGTTCCTCTTGCACTTCTGTACTTCTTTGTTCAGGTAAGTGGAAAACTGATGATTACTGATGACTGTTACGCCACTGTTCTTGTTGCTTTTCAAGGGAAAAAAATAAACTTTGACGGAAATTTGAAATACCTGAAATAATTACCTGCTTATTTAAACAAAGCATTTACTTTGCTCAGAGAAATGTGCTGCAGTATGTGGTCATGAAATAAATAAGCCTTCTTTTTTTTTTCCTTTTGATTTTAAGTAGTAGCAAGTAAGCCTACTACTAGAGATAGAATTATAGTGAACTTAAATATGCAAACGGTGTCTGTATTTGACATACTGACAAGGTTTTAAGGTGGAGAGGACTTAAAACATTGAAAATAACTAGCATCAATTTTATTGACTTTAAGCAAAGAAAGCTTATGTAGATTGAGACCTGTTGATGGAGATACAGACTCATTTAATTTTCTTGGAAATTGAGCTTGAGGTTGCTACAAATGCATTCATTGTGTTATCTAAATTTAAAGCACTGTAGGTGAATTCAGCTTGCAGTCTATGGAAATTGCCCTTGTCCAATACTCTATTTTGAAAAGAAACAAAGGTAACCTCACTTGAAATACTTCTTAACTATAAAGAATATTTTGAAGGGTTGAAGTGCATTGGCAGCAATCTCTTTTGAACTCTTAATCTAAAAATTACTACACCGTAAATTGAAAGGAGAAAATATCTCCCGTTGCTCATCCATCTTCTCGCCCCGAACGGCAGCGGTTCTACGTGGCGACCTCCCGCCAGCTCAAGCGCCTGGAGTCCGTGAGCAGATCCCCCATCTACTCGCACTTCTCGGAAACCATCACCGGGGCCAGCGTCATCAGAGCCTACGGCAGAGAGAAGTCCTTCGTAGCCATCAGTGATCTAAAAGTGGACGAAAACCAAAAGAGTTACTATCCTGGCATTGTATCAAACAGGTAAAAAAGGCATAAAACTTTTTTGTTTTCACTTAAATAAGCTTTGGTTTGCAACAGCCATTTACCACTATGCTTATATCTGTCCTTTTTTTTTTTTGATCAGGTGGCTGGGCATTCGGGTTGAATTTGTGGGGAACTGTGTTGTCCTTTTTGCTGCCCTCTTTGCTGTGATTGGTAAAAACAGCCTCAACGCTGGCCTAGTAGGACTTTCGGTGTCATATGCATTGCAGGTATGTGTTACAGCTGTCAGCTTTACAGAGAGGCATATGCTTCTTTACACGAGCACCTCAGGGTCCACAGGCTTCTTGTCCCAGGATCCTTATCAGTGTCAGTACAAAGATAATTATTCCGTTTGTAGTTTCAGTATGAATTCTCTCTCTTAACGTACCGCAGCAGTCCCTTCAATTTGCACCCTCCCCCCCTATTTTTTAATCTGCTGTTTCTCTGAGGGCAGTATTTTGTTCTGTGTCTTCTCCAGGTGACGATGTCTCTGAACTGGATGGTCCGTATGACTTCTGATCTTGAAACCAACATTGTGGCTGTTGAAAGAATAAAGGAGTATTCAGAAACCGAAACAGAGGTCAGCTGCCAAGCATCAAGCTTGGTCACCAACAAGCATGGCATAATTTTGACATGCATATTTACATTATCTTTCTTTAGACACTTGTGAGGCAGTTCCTGCTCCGAGAATGTAACCATCTAACCTACACAAATGTCACATACTAAACTGCAATCTGTGCTATCACAGCTCCAAAATATTACTGCTGCCAGGCTGTCTCGCCTTAGCATCTCATTTTCTGCTCGTGTGAGTGCTTGTAGCACGGCAGAGATGATTCTCATCGCTGCGATGTTGCCCACGACGTGTGTGAAGTGTGTTTGATGCACAGCCCTAGCTGCGTGGATGGTGCCGTGATCCTGCTCGTGAGCACAGCTGCAGCTCGGTTATCAAGCTGTGCACACATCGTCAACAGGGTTTCTGTTTAATCAGCTTAGCCCTTGGCTCCCAGGAGAGAAGAACATCTCCAGGAACACTGCACTGTCTCATCCAGAAAAATCATCCATGTGTCTTCCTTTGCTGCCACATACATTTTAATGCATCAGATAGAGCTGTGCTGGAAAATCTGCTGCTTTCAGGACATGTTGGCTTTTACTAGTCCTGTTGTACAGGAGACTAACAATTGGGAAATGGGGGAAATCCAAGGAGACCTGCAGTGTTCTGGAGATCAAATGTTTGATCTACAAGAGAAAAGGAAATCAGGCAAGATGCACAATACTTGTTACAAGGCAGAGCTTGAGCTGGCATGGAACAGGCACTATTCTGTTACAGTTAATGAAAAAATGCTGATTTATATTAGTTGAGGATTTGGCCTTCTGTGCTGAGATTTTTTTTTTCTGTAAACTTCACAAAAGAAAATCAAAATGTGTTATGTTTAGCAATCTGCATTTTCTTCCTATTCTTATGAATTTGTTCAATAACTGAGATTTATCAGCCATGTTTCTAGGAGTCGTGAATGTTAGTGTCAGCATCCAAGTTTGAATTAATTCTTTTAAGCCTCTGCGTGGCATTTCTGACGACTGTTTTCGCCAGGCTCCGTGGGTGATCGAGGACAAGCGTCCCCCAGCAGACTGGCCGTCCAAGGGCGAGCTGGAGTTTGTGAATTACTCGGTGCGCTACAGGAAAGGCCTGGACCTGGTGCTGCAAGATCTCAACCTCCAAGTGCACGGTGGCGAGAAGGTGGGTTAGCAGCCAAGCGTCGGCTGTGACTTCGTTCATAGAATCACAGAAGAATCATAGAATCATTATATATATATATTTTGGTCTTCAGTGACAGCCGTTGAGTGGAGGATGGGGAGTACAGGCAAACCTGCCCCAGTGGTGACACCTGCTTGAACTGGTGCCACTAGAATCGGCAGTACTGAGCAGAGCGGCACAAATACAACCACACGTAGGTGTGCCGATGTCCTCTAGGCTGGGTGTGGTGGAACCAGTTGCCTGATGCCATCTGGACTTTCCAAGTTGGCATTGGGCAGCAGCAATTGCAATGGTGCTTTCCTCAAGTTATGCAGCAGGGAAAAGAGATTCCAGCTTTTGTTTTTCTCTGGCTTTCCCTGTGAAATTTTTGTTGTGGAATTCTTTGCTTCCTTAACCGGGGAGTTGTCTTTGTGGGAGATTCCCATCTTCATGCCTCAATTGCAAGCACTGGGGTGTTTGTGCTGTTAACAGCACAGTTATCCTGTGAAAGTCCTCCAGTTAAGAGCTGTTATTAAAAGGGCGGGTAATTATCCTTGTGCTACACATACAGGATGGGAACTGCCTTCTGGAACGGAGAGAGGCGTGCTCACCACAACGTCTCAATTGGCCTCTAAAGAGCCTTATCTCTTGCTGTTGAGTGATTGGTCTCCTAATGTGGGTACGTCAGTTAATCACTCAAAATTATGTAGCATGGCTCTGGGCCTAGATACTTATTTATATGCAATATCATTCAAATTATGGGAATGGTAACACCTATACAGTGTAATGTATGATAGGAGCTTATAGGGAAGGATGGTTACATCTCTTTTTAGATCTAAATCTTACACGAAACCTCTCAGAGAAATCCTGGGGTTTGGGTCGAGCTCTTTTTTTAATGGTTGGTTATTTCTTAATGATATACTTTGTTCTTAATTCTGTAATTCGTTTGCAGATTGGAATTGTTGGCAGAACTGGAGCAGGGAAGTCCTCCATGACACTCTGTCTCTTTAGGATCCTAGAAGCTGTAAAAGGGGAAATTAAAATTGATGGTGTGAAAATTTCAGACATTGGCCTCCACGATCTTCGATCAAAGCTGACAATTATTCCTCAGGTACCTTATGTTTGTCACAGTAAATGAAGGAACTCCAATAGCTTAACAAACACTGTATGTAGCATGTTTTTGCAGTGGGTAAGAGTGGGAGGTGGCCTATCTTCAACACAGTGGACACATCAAAGCAATAGCTCTTATTTTAATATCTGTGCTTAAGACAACTAAAGCATTTGTCTGAAAAAGTCAGTTTTCCTGTCCAGGATCCCGTTCTCTTTTCTGGAACGCTGAGGATGAACCTGGATCCCTTTAATAAGTATTCAGATGAAGAAATATGGAAAGCTCTTGAACTGTCTCACTTGAAGAGGTTTGTCAGCAGTCAGCCCTCCACGTTGGACTATGAATGCTCAGAAGGAGGAGAAAATCTTAGGTGAGGAGTTTGGGGATTAGCAATATACACTGATCTTTCATTCAGCCCTAACAGCAGGTAACACTTGGGTCCCGGCGTACACTGCAGACTGTGAACACAGACGTTAAAGCTCGTGGAGTGGTGCTGCAATGCCTGTTCTATTAGCTCTAGAGCTGACAGACTGGGCTGTTTGCTAAACACCGTTTTTGCTTTGGTTACTCTGCTCAGTAATCCGCTCTAGCACACACGGTGCTGAGCAGTGGAAGCCGAGGGGCTGCGGGGCCTCGGCTCGACACCCTGTCTGTGCTTGCAGCGTTGGCCAGAGGCAGAGCGTGTGCCTGGCACGAGCGCTGCTCCGCAAGACCAGGGTCCTGGTCCTGGACGAAGCGACAGCGGCGGTCGACCTGGAGACGGATGATTTTATCCAGATGACGATTCGGACGCAGTTTGAAGACTGCACAGTGCTGACCATAGCGCACAGGCTGAACACAATTATGGATTACACAAGGTAAAAACGATTCCATGGTGCATGTGTACAGGCTCACACATAATCTTAAACTATCCAGCCCTGGTTTTGCTTTTGTTGGCTTAAAACACAGGTTTTATGTTCATTAATCAGGGCTGTACAAGAGATGCTCTCCAGCTGCTTTAATATCGTGGGGTTATTTTTACCCTGTTGTTACCTTTCCACTAACATTCTGTCATGTTAATTATTTTAAAAGACTGTGCAAGCTCTTTTTGCCCTGGCTTTGTCGTGTTCTGTTTTCAGTTGCAGAGCTGGCAGTCTCACCAGTTTAACTTTTCTGGGAGACTGCGAGTGTTCTGGAGCTTTGAAACAGGCTCCACTTCAGGAATAATGTCTCTCTCCTCTTGCACTTCATCCGCTGAAAATAATTGAGCAAAACAAAGGCAAGGGACAGCTTAGAACAGAACTTGCTTTGTGACTGGAGAAGGACACCACATCTCCTGCAAGGAGTTCTCTGACACATCTTTCTCCCCACCACCACCTTTTGTTTTGCACAGGGTCCTTGTCCTGGACAAAGGAGCCATAGCTGAATTTGATACACCTGCCAACCTTATAGCATCAAAGGGTATTTTCTACAGTATGGCCAAAGATGCTGGACTAGCATGATAAGAAGACCCCTAGGTGATTTATATATATATATATATACATATATATATATATATTTTACTGACTTGCCACAGAAGTGACTTGTGAATGTACTGTAATTTACAAAACAGTCTTTGTAGTAGACTAAACTTTTGATATGTGAACAAAGTATTTACAACCATAAGGACCAGAAAGTGATTTTTTATATTTTTAAAATATTTTCTATATACATAAAGTATTTTATTAAGTGCTTTTCCCCCCAAAGAATGCCAAACATTCTGCCAGGAAAATGTATGTATCACAAGGCACTATGTACTGTATTCTGGTTTATAATTAGTAAATTATAGCAATGATACAACACATACCTGTTTTGTGAGTCTTCTGTAAAAGATTTCTTCAGTTTTGAAGTGGGAATAGAGGCATGGTTAAGCATTAACTTAGCTAAGAAGTACTGAAGTAGGTGTCACTTCTGAGTGGTTCTAACCTGTTCCTTGCAGTATTTCCCCAGGACGTGGGAGTTGAAGGTGGCCTTTCTAGGCTGGGAGCTATCCCGGGATCTCTGCAACTTCAGGTTCATGACATTCTTCTTCAACAGAGCTTTTGAGAATAACTTATTTAAAACTAAACCTATAGATGTAGCCTAATCTAAATCACTCACTATGCAATTGCTGCCAACTTAGTAGACTACATGTAAGCCTGTAGAGACACGTCCAACACAAAAATGTTACCCTTTTGCTCTCTCTTCTGTATGAATTCACCATGGACAAGTCTCTACTTGAGCTGAACGTGCCTGCTGAGCAGATGCCACTGTCACCTCCTTCAGCACTTACCCACCTGAAATCAAAGGAGACTTGTTTTATAGAAATAAGTATCTATCTTATTGTTATTGATAACCAAGTTGCCTCGGACAAAGTTCCTACACCAGCTACTATGGGAACCTTCCTGGGAAGAAAACATTCCTGTGTTTTTCTTTAAGTAAATTTCTGACACACTTTCAGAAGACAAAAATAATCATTTATTAAGTTTTACAAATGACACATAAATAGAAACAAAAATATGCAGCCAAGCAGTTATTTGAGACTAACGGTTTACATAGCAATGCACCTACTTATGAATTACTGATCAAACACAGTAAGGTAGTGATTACACACTTATCATATTAATTCAAGTTAGCAAGGTTAATAGTATCTTCTGTTTATAAACTGCATAATATATAAAAATATTTGTCTGAATGCATAGATAGCCATCAGCATCTGTGCACAACAGTCAAGGAAGTCTCAGCCCAAGAGCTGAGCTTTTCTCTGATAGGTCTGACTGCTTGATCCGTAATAATTTGATACCTGCATGGATTAGGCTGGCATTTAGCCAGCTGAAGCCCAAACCATCACTATTACATATACCAGAAACGGTGCAATAGGAAATCTTATTATTCCATTATTCAGTAGTTTAATACGCCACCAACAATTTGAGATACAGCCACTGACTCCAACTGTGTTTGTCCTCTCATGCTTCAAAAAAAGGGTATTTGGTTGTGACAAAAGGTTCTTACTAGTATTACCTTTAGGAGGCAGAAATTTGGTCTGGTTATTTGCTGCATAATAAATCTGGGCGCTTGCATGGATCTGTGCTTCCCAGTGAACACGGAAGCGCCAGACTCCAAGGCAGGTTGGGAAAGGGCTCCCTCTTGTGTGCTCACTCGGGCTGAAGCTGGATAAATAGTATCCACTGCATGGGAAAGAGAGGATGGATAGCCTGGGGTTCCTCTGCTGTTACTAACCTGTAATACAGGTTACTGTCCTGGCTGCAGGGGAAGTAGCAGTTGTGTCTCCTGTCGCGGTCTCTGGGAAAGGAGAAGAGGTAGTGGTGGACACCAAGGCCATCCCGAGAAAGTCTCATGTTCTGCACCCAGAGGGCTAAGAGTTTAAGACGTGGTTCTCTGGAGCTTTGGTGGCTCCCTGTTTTCTGCAAATCTCACTGACAAGCCCACCTACAACATACAGCTACCCTGGGCTGTAAATACCATTAGACAACAAGAAGACAAAAGTCCTTTGGTTGCTGTAGTTCCCGAAGAAACAAACGGGGAAGAGGGGCTCAGGGGAGATAAAGAAATAGAGGGGAAATCAGTCCAGGCTGATATGTTTTTGGCTCTTACACCTAGGACTTCAGTCATCTGATTCATAGCTGTTTAACTGTACTTAAACAGTTACGTTACCAGACTGGATCGCTTCTTCAAAAGCTAATGACTTTGTAAATAATAAGATCCTAAGACATTAGATAAAATCTAGCTCACTATTGTCTTAAGTAATATTTTCAATTTATTTATTCCTGGATTTCATAGCAAAGTAGTCTAATTGTCATTTTTTATTAAGAGGAAAAGTGACTTTTCAGTAAGCAACAGTCAAGTGCAAGTCACCAGGAGCGGGCGAATAGGAAATACACTGCATAGAAACATCAAGACTTTAATATCAGCCCAGAACACCCTGGTTTTCTTTTTTCATGGGAAATTTTGAAGTTTCCAGACTGTATTTTTCTCTGGAATGTAGTGCTACATCTTCTAAAAGGAGAACAACTTTATAATATTTGTGCTATAAAAGGGGAAATTAAAGCAGCATTGGAAGAATCTGTTTTCAATACAGTAACAAAAACAGTATTTTAAATTGCACATATCAATACTGTAGTTTGACAGACAACAATCAAAGGACCTATGATTTTGGTTGACAGCATATTTTAGATAATTTTTTTTGTTTTCAACCTGAGAAAAAGGGAAACATGTAAATAGGGATTAAGAAATCATAGGTAATAAGTCACTTAGGAATATTAAAACTAGACAGTTTTGTGCTTCTTCCACAGATTTAAACCCCTCTGTATTTTTTTCCTACTACATAACAGATGATGCAAAATACATGATCTGAAAGGTGAACATGCCAATAGTAATGGAGTCAATACAAATATTCAATGAGTTTTGTGGCAGGTTCTTTAGCATGAGTTTTCTCTGCTATGTTATAGCAAATTATTAGAACAGTTGAAAATAAGCCTTTCCCTGAGAGCTTCTATAACTCTACAATATTTTAATTTTTTTAAGGAAGAGAGTGCTGCATTAACAGATTGTTCTATCAGTACTTTCTTTGCATAAGTTATTTTCATATCAGACTAGTTGCTCCTAGGCTGTAACTGTGCATAACATCTTTAGTTTATTTCAAGGTTAACAAAATAGATCTTTTTCACATCATTAGCCCTTATAGATAATATGTTTCAAACACGTAATTTTAAAAGGAGAGATACAAATATTTTGTTTTATTCTTCTTTAAACAATTAGTATGTCAGTTCTGATGCTTTCTTGTTATAACCACCCCGTTCAGAAAGTGTTGGAACTCTGAAAAGTAAGTTTTTGTCGCTTACTGTTAGAACAAGCTCCAGTTCTTGGAAATCCTGTAGCCGTGCAACATCTTTGTCCTTTAAATAAATACAGTAAGTTGTTAAATGATAAAACATGATTGATTTTGCAGAGGCAAATTGAAGTAATAGGCTGATGCTAACATACATTATGTATAGTATACATGACAATTCTTTACAGTAAACTGGGAAGTAAACATCCTGTTGCATATTATATTTATTTGGGCATCTTATTCAGCTATTCAAGTCTATTTTTAAGGAATGCAGTACTTGACAGTGAGTGCAAATGATTTGTCGCTTGTAAAAATCTACTGCATCCTCTTTAGAAAACCCATGAGTACACACTCTTCTGAGCTCCCATCCCTTTTTCTTTTTTTCTGTCTGTTGGTAATTTTTAAAAAGTCAGAAATTAATTATTGGTATCGACTCAGGAAGGTCCTGCACGCACCTTCCTCTAGAGCAGCCCCTAAATGCCACCCTTGAGCTGGGCTAGGCAGGGTCCTCAGAGAGCAAAGGAGAAACCCTCCCAGTGGGGGCTCAGCACTTTGCTGCCAGGCAGCATTAAGTAGAATAACTTCCATGTCATCTCGGGGACTAGTAAGTGTCTTGCAATCCTACCATAAGAATCTGAAGAAATTAATGCTGGAGATAAAGAGGGTTTTGAGCAATTGCTCACTAAATTGGCAAGTTACAGAACTGCTTATTTTCTTCCACTTCTTGCCTAACAAAGAATAAGTCTTGATATATTCAATGAAGATGCAGTACAGAGACATCTATTAACTTAGCACTAATCAGATTAGCTCCACCATCTGACGCCAACAGTGCTTGGCAGGGATTTGGCACTGAACTCTTTCAGTGGTGCCTCAGTAAAACAGGTCAGCAGGTCCCGGGTTTCTGGGTGCTGCACAGGGAAATGTCACTGCCCTGAAAAGACACTTACCTTGGCAGACTTCTGAGAATATTTTTGAAACTGTTTCCTAGAGTCAAGCTGCTTCTAAAAGAACTGCATGTAGTCCTTACTGAACTAGAAAGGCTCACTTGACTCCTGTAAGGCTATTAAACATTGATGACAGATGACAATGGCACTGCATTGAATTTCACAGTGTAATACAGAACCACATATAAATTGGTCTTGATGCCAAATGCTTATGAAAGGAAATGCGGGAGAAACTTTTTTTATATGGAAGAAAAACCTTAAGTATTAGAAGTCTAAGGAGTTCCTTAGGGACTGCTCAGCTGCCCCGTTCCCAGTGACTAATCGTGGCACAGTTAGAATGAATGAGAATTAAAAGAAATCAGTGACTAGTCAATGAACAGTTTCTGTAAACACTGCAGTCAAGTGTTACAGAAGCGTGGCCAGAACATTACCTATCCTCAAGGAATCTGAAACACTTCAAAAAAAGAACAATACTATATTGAGTGCATGGGGTCATGCACAGCTCAACCTCAAAATGAAAAATAAACCAGCGGGTCCAGCCAACTGCATGACTCCCCTCCAGCATTTCTCTAAGACAGTGAGCATTGTTTAAAAAAAACTAATACTGTCACTTTTTTTGGTGGCCTGAGAATATGGTGATTGAGCACCAAACTATTCCTTTTATTAGTAAGCTACAAATCTTTTTTAAAAGTTGCTGAATGTAAAAAATATGAGCTCTTACCTTTCTTAGCACTGTATTTGGCAATTTTCTGATCTTCTCTACGTGTTCAGGGTTAACGCCCAGCTCACAACAACTCACCCGGAGCAGTTCTTTATAGGTCAGTTCTTGTCTGTCCAGTTCAATTTCAATGAAGTCATTTTCTCTAAGGCTAAGGTTTTGTATTCTAACTTTAAGCACCAGTTCTATTAGAAATAAATTAAAAAGTACATAATATGCAGATGTATAAAAGCATTGAAAATAATATCTTCATAATAATTTCAGAGTATTTCTAGTTTCTATTAATGCTTCTTGTATCATTTGTAACAATAGAAGAATCCTCAGAGAGTAATTCAACCTGGACTCATATGACTGAGTTTTTCATTAGACTGACTTTTAACATACATAAAAAAGTCATCACTAATCTAATTCAGTGTGTGTATGTATATATGAATCTTTGGAAAAGAACTCATCTTACTGAATTTAAACTAACCTTGAAGCAGATCACATTCATTACCACTATTCTCAGCAATTCAATATTACTTTTGCTGCTTTTTTTCATTTTTTTGGTGATCACCCAACTATGATTCAAATGGATTCTCTTAACCTCTCTTTGCTAAATCACAGCATCAGAATGGTTTTTATTTCAACAATAAAGTCCTGAACCAAAACAGAAATTCCATTTTTTCCCTATGTGAGCAGGCAGAATATTTACCAGAAGAAATGGCAGATCATAATTATAATAGTTCCATATCCAGATCTTACTGCAGACAGCTTTCTTGAGATTATCCCTTGAGCTCACTGATGATTTACATTCTGCATCTGAGGTCCACTACTTACAGTATAAAACAAATAAAACAGTATACTTCAAATACAAAACAAAAATGTATTTGAAGTACACTATTTAAAGTATACTATTTAAAAATGTATTTGAAGTATACTGTTTAGAGAATTTGATCACCCTGGTGTTACATGGTTTTATAGCATGTGAGACAAATAGAAAATGTTTTCACTAATATTCTAATACCAGTTCCAGCAGAAACAGGCTGTCTCTTTTCAACTGCCTGAGTGCCTAACAGCTGAGCACCTCGAAGTATGATAAATATGTATAACACTGACTGTGCTCTGTTTTTGCTGTCCAAGATGACAGCAGTTCTAAGAATAGTGAGTTTTACTGTTACCTTGCATATTAAGTGGAAAAGCTCCCGTGAAGAAGACCGGCTGAAAAGTCGGCACGGGCCTGGGACAGAAGCCGTTCTGCTGCTGAGGGGCGGCCGGTTTTGATCCAACGGGAGAAGGGGAACTCCTGCTCCAAGACACGGGTGTCTGGTACACCGGGCCGTTCTGACTGACGGGTTTTGGGCACGGTGGTGCGGTACAGCCGCCAGGCAGCGACGACCTGTCTCCGTTACTGACCACCTCCGGGGCAGCGTTTTGCCACGGGGACGATGCACAAGGGCACGCTGCCACGCGAGGTGAGGAGCAGGGAGAGCTGCCGTCGCGCAGCTCCGAGGGCGAGACGCTGCCGTTCACCGAGGCGCCTGGAATACTGTTGTTGCTCATGGTGTTATAGACATACAGGAACGGTGGGTTAGCCAGGTAGTTCGGGATGATTGGCAAATCGGAATCTTTCGTTAAGTCTGGGAGTTCATCATCTTCCACTGTAAAACAAACAAATAATAAAAAAAAGACAATAATATTCTCCAAGATTGGCTTTACGGAAAAAAAAAAATACAGTTATTGCATTGGACAGATTATGGGTTTTTTTAGGAGGGGGGTATAAGCATCACAGGGTCGATCAAGTGGCTCTACACCATTTTTCTACAGCGAAGAACTGTGCTCAGGTGTTGCAGAAACAAAATCAGAAACAAAACAGGCAAGAGAATACAAAAGGGAAGAAAGAGGCAATTTTTATCAAATTTCAACCTGCTTCTCACCTCTGTCAGCAAAGCCTGCTCCACTCCACCAAGTACAACACATGATAAAAACGCTCTACCATCGTACTTCATCGAGCTGCTGCTCTAGAATGCTCATTTTAGACACTCAACACAGTGTCTAAATGCCACAAAACACCAGGAAAAATAGGTATTGGTCATATACTGTAGCTTATAGAAACTTGAGAGATTTTCCTCCATTTGCTCCTTCTGAAAATATCAAGCTGCATCCATCTGTGATTGTTTTTTTCAAAATAAAGCTTCTTCATACTTTTTCCAAGCTTAGAAAAACAGTTTGTTTGCCCAAATATATGGGTTTTTTTTTTTTTGGTAATCCTCTTTTTCTAAATTGTGATTTCTCACTAAATAAAAACACTTTAGAGATCAAGTCTTGCCAAAAAAAATCACAGTGTCATCACACACAAAATAATGCAGCAGCATAATTGCACTAAACAGTCTTTTCCTGTATTTTTTTTTAATTTTATACCATGCGAGCAATAGCTTTACCTCCCAGCATCTTCCGAATCTCCCTCTTGGACGTTAGCTGGACGGGCCGCTCTCCTTTCCTCGTGAGAATCTCCTTGTCGGCCCCCGAACGCAGCAGGTAGGACACCACTTGAGCGTGATTTCTTTTGCATGCCCAGTGCAAGCAAGTCCTGCACACAGAAAATGTGAATGCCCTTTGAAATAGTCATTTATGGCACACAAACTTCAATCATTCCCACTGCATTTTGGGAGAACAAGATTTAATGTCTGTCTAGCATTAAAAAAGTTTTTAATAGCTATGTGGTCCTTGCAAATTTGCTCCATTTTTGGAGCCTGCAGTGACACCTGCTGATCTACTTTTCCTTTGCACTAATGCTCTTGATATTGTTACCATGGCAGTATTTTTCAAGATATTTTTATTTTTTCACATATTAGGCTATTAGCTTTTATTGAAAATAAACTTCAAATACTTTTGTGTGTATGTAAGCTAATATGCTGCTTCTTGTAGATACTTTTTTCTTTGTGAACTATTGAAAGCTTCAGTGGGACTCTGCACACGTGCAAAATTCAAGGGTTTTCCAGCAATGTCAGTTCTACAAGCAAACCTTAGTAACAGTGAAGATCTTTTTACTGCCATAGTAAAAAATGACTAGATTATAATTTCTGAAAATAATTGTGTTTTCATCCATCAATGCTAGTTTTCTAGCATGCTGTTTCTTCCATGAATGCTAGTTTCAGATACAAGCTTACTTTGATGGCAAGCAGCTGTTTCTCTTGCACATGAACATAATTTACTATCTTATGACTCACTTTTAGTGAGTTAATACAACCTGTGATTTTACTCACAAGTTGAACCTAAATTTGCAAGGTTTGATGCTACTGCAAACTACTAGTACAGTTCTTATCTTTAAAGTAACAGTTTCTCTCCTGATTTTATTCGTTACATTTTGAATTAAAAACCTCAAGCACGGTACTGTGTGGTGAATGCACAGTGAATTATGGAAAACAGTCTCCAAAAATACCTGACATTCCCTGCAGCTCCTGCTTCGAACAGTAAAATGTGCACGTGTATTCTGTGCCTGTGTGTGTGTAGATGTAATATACAGCTTCACTTGTGCAAATGTCTATAAGAGAGAGAACTTGGCTTTAGTGTTGCCAGGTGGTATTTGAATGAGATGTCAAAATCAAAAGTGTTCCGGGTATAACACTGAAACAGCCTGCAAGTTGCCTGCCAAAAAACTAAGTCGTTTTAGAATCTGATTTAAATGTTAACCCAAAATAAGTCTGGTTATAAATTAACATATCTTGGCAAGCCGCGGTTTATTTTTGTGAGAGCTCCTTTACGGCGCTGTCTGAGGCTGCCAACACTCCCTTTAGGAAGAACAAACAACAGCGCAGGAGGGCGCGGGGCCCACGGGGCTCTTACCAGCCGTTGATGTCATTCTGGGAGTTCAGGTC